AGAACCACTGAGCTAAATCCCTGGCCCTTGACAATTTTTTTTGAGACAGGGTCTCACTATGTATTTCAGGCTGGCCTTGAACTTATTATGTAGCCCAGGCTGGCCTCGAACCTGCAGTGATCCTCCTGCCTCAGCCTCCTAAGTGCTGGGATTACAGGCATGCACCACCACATCCAGCTATAAGACAAATTTTTAACTATTAGCACTATACTATGAAGCACAACGAACATCTTATTTAAATAAAAAAGAGTAATATTTCACTGGGAGATAGAGCCAACAGATTTTTTTTTCTCATATCCATATCTAATAGTGCTATCTTACTGGCTACTTTTTAAACAGATGCAAATTTTGAAAAAAACACCAAAAGCCATGTTTTGCTCATGAATACTATTGTTCAAATACCACACAGGCTGTTTTACAGCAGATACTCATTTGCCAAGCTTCAGATGGCAAAATGCTAAGTTGTGAATTTGGTATTGTCCAGTGAGTTGTTTCTCCCTGCTCTGGAGACTCTGGTGGCATGTGCTGCTGAGAAGTCACCCTGCTGCCACTCTCTTCTCACAGTTGGATCCACTAGGAAGGATCATTCATGTCCTTAAGATGCAAGGCCGAGCAGAAACCCTCCCACAAATCCACTGGATATCACGATGTTCTGTTTGATAAATTCTGTTGCCTGAAAAATAAAGTAGGTTTAAAGAAAAATACTCTTTATTATGCTGAAATAATGGAAGAAACTTGAAAACATTATTTTGAATGAAGTAAGACAGACAAAAAAGGACAAATGTATGATTCTACTTAAGGAATAATCAAATTCATAGAAAGTAGAATGGAAGTTATGCAGGGCTGGGAAGAAGGGAAATTGGTATTTAATGTGAACAGAGTTCATCTGCAATTGAAAAAGTTCTACAGGGGCCGGGGATTTAGCTCACTGGTTCCATTGCCTGCCTTGCAAGCACAAGGTCCTAAGTTCGATCCCCGATACCAAGAAAAAAAAAAAAAGTTCTCCAAACGGATAGTAGTAAGGACTGTACAAAACTGTGAGTGAGCTGGGTGTGGTGGTACATGCGTGTAATCTCAGTCCTCTGGGAGGCTGAGACAGGAGGATCAAAAGTTTGAGTTCAGCTTGGTGACTTAGCAACTTAGTGAGATCCTATTTCAAAATGAAAAATAAAAAGGGGATGGGGATAGTTCAGAGCTAAAGCCCTGGGTTCAATTCCTGGTACTAAAAAAAAACCCCAAAAAACAAAAAGTATGAACGTACTTAAATGCCACTGAATTGTACACATAAAAAAGTTAAAATGGTAAGTTTTATATATATTTTACCACAAAAAGATGGAAAATTTAAAAAAATCCACTTTATTGAATCAAGCTAAGTAAGATTCTTAGCTTTTTGATTTTGTTTTATTTTTTGAGATAAGGTCTTGCTAAGTAGTTTAGGCTGGCCTTGAACTAGTGAAGATCCTCCTGCCTCAGCCTCCCAAGTGCTGGGAATATAGGCATGCGCCACCATGGCTGGGAAATGTTCCCAGCTATTTTAATTCAATAAATAGTCAGGAAAACTTCCTCTGTTCCTACAACTGCTGGTGCCAAACACAATGCAAGATCCCAGAACTGTAGGTTCCATGGTAAGGAGCCTAGAGCCCATAGCCAGTCCCCGTAAGCTCCTGGGCTACTGAGGTACCAGGTGTGTCTGGGTAGCAATGGTAACACAGGGAAAAAGAAATAGTCAATTCATCAAGCTCTTATCACAGATTATTTTATAAATTGCCACAGCAGGAACAATGGTATTTATTAATAGTCTCTATTTAGTCAGTAAGAAACAAATGTACAAGATTTTTAAAAAATCACTTTGACAAAATGATTAACCAAAGACAATCATGAGAAAACCATCAGAAAAATCCAGTCTGTGGGATGTTCTGCCTGATGCTTCAAAAATGTCAGTGCTGTACAAGATGAGGAGAGAAAAAAAAATCTCCCAAAATGAAAAACAGATGAGTGGACTGTTGAACACTAACGCAAACTCCAGAGACATGACAACCAAATGCAACACATAATTTTTGACTGGGGAAAAAAATCATAAAATATTTTATGGAAAAATTTTAATATGAACTGCATACTAGAAAATATTATTGTATTGTTAAATTTTTTGGATTGATGATGCTATTTGTGATGGGCATGGTGGCATAGTCCTGTAATCCCAGCACTTGGGAGGCTAAGACGGGAGGATTGCCAAGAGTTTGAGACCAGTCTGGGCTATGTAGTGAGTTCAAGGCCAACCTGGACTACATAGTGAGACCCTGTCACAAAAAGCAAAAAACAAAAAGAATGATTTGCAGTTCTATAGGAGAATATCTATACTGTTGGGACATAGATGCTGAGGTTTTTAGGGGTGAGGTCATGGCATATTTGGCAAAAAAGAAATAAAAGGTATAAATCTCATCCACACACAGATAAAGCAAATGTGCCAAAATGGGAGGAATTTGGTAACAGGCGAAGGATGAATGAGTATTCATTTTGTCTTTCAACTTTTCACTTGGCTTGAAAATTCTCAAAATAAAAAGTTGGAAGAGGTGAAAGGATAAAAAAGCAAAGGCAAAGGAATGTTCAATTCCAAAGAGAGTGTAAGAAAAATGAAAGATGCTGGGGATTTAGCTCAGTGGTTTTGTCGCCTGCCTCAAAAGCACAAGAACCCGAGTTCAATCCCCAGTACAAAACAAACAAACAAACAAAATATCTAGTTTCTGGGCCGGGGATTTAGCTCAGTGGTTTCGCCGCCTGCTCGCCGCCTGCTGCGCAAGCGCAAGGACCCGAGTTCAATCCCCAGTACCAAAAAAAAATATTTTCAAACTATTCTATCTCAAGAAAAATGATGACTTTTACTATATCTAATGTATATACTTTTACATTTAGAAAAATTAAAAAAAATCTTGGAAGAATAAAGTTATCATAAGATTAAAATGGGTGGGAGATAGGCAGAGTAATCTATGTTTACCACCAAAAATAATGACTGATTTAAATGATGATCATTTTTTACCTAACATTCTAGATATATGACAAAAACATATATTTTCTAAAAAGATAATCTTTAGACACATTTTCTACTGAGAATAGGTAACAAAAAGGGGGGCCCAAACTGTGTATTGTCTTACTTCTTCAATTACATTGTTGATTTCAGGTGCTGCTTTATTTGCTCGTTTCTTAATCTGTCTTTTTGCTTTGTTTACATCTTTTTCAACTCTCTTCCAGTCGATCTGCACATAGCCACTATGACTGGCAATCTGTAAAAATGTAATAAAAATGGTTATTCATATAATAGAAGATTTTGTGTACATTTAAATTCCACTAAATCCATGCAATTCATAAGAAACTGTTAATTGGTATTTATCCACCAATTTACTCATTTGACATGTACGGCACACTGACACTGTGCCCAGTACTGAAGAAGACACACATAACACCCCTGTCCCAAGCTCTGGCTCAGTTAGGGAGAAGACACTAACTATCCAAATATTCAAATTATATAGCTGATAAAAAGTGTCTTTTAATCCAACAGATGTGTAACGACTAAGGATCAGAAGCCAAGCAGGTCACTAAAGAAATCTCCTTGGGGCCGGGGATTTAGCTCAGCGGTTCCACCGCCTGCCTTGCAAGCGGAGGGACCAGAGTTCGATCCCCAGTACCAAAAAAAAAAAGAAATCTCCAGTAGCAGCCAGGCATGGTGGCACATGCCTGTAATCTCAGCACTCTGGGAGGCTGAGGAAGGAGGGTTGCAAGTTCCAGCCCAGCCTGGGCAACTCAGCGAGATCATTTCAAAATAAAAAGTAAAAAAAGGCTGGGGATGTAGCTTAATATGAATGAAGGCCCAGGGTTCAATCCCTGTAACACAAGAGAAAAAATAAATAAATAAATAAAAAGAATCCAAAGTAGCCTAATAAAGACCCTTTACTAAGTCTTCTGCAGTGCTGGGGATTGAACTCAGGGCCTCCTGCATGCTAGGCAAGCACTCTACAACTGAGCTACATGCTCAGCCCCTTTTATTTTTTATTTTGGGACACAGTCTCACTAAGTTGCCCAGGCTGGCCTCAAACTTTCGATCCTTCTGCCTCAGCCTTCAGAATAGCTGGGACTACAGGTGAGTGCCACTGTGCTCCACTTAACTGACTCTTAAATTAAATTGAGAATACTTTCTGGTAATTACTTTTGAAAGTAGAACATAAGAGAAACATGCTCTATACAAGTTTTATGCCATAAATCCTTTTAATAAAACTATGGCTAAATGCCTATTAATCATAAGAAAAACTGTTATATGATGCTACTGAAACACTGCAAAATCTGAAAAGAAACAGCAGTGTGAGTATAAGCCAGCAAAGTAAATTAATGCCTTCAAATAATAAAATCAGGGCCAGGTGCGGTAGTGCATGCCTATAATCCCAGAACTCTGGGAGGCTGAGGTAGGACCATTGCAAGTTTGAGCCCAGCAGAGGCAACTCAGCAAGACTGTCTCAAAAAAAAAAAAAAATCTGATTTTATATAAATAAGTTGACTGGAAATCTTAGGTTTTGTTTTCTGTGTGAATAATTCCACAGAATAATGTTTATTGCATTTCTTCCTGTATTTAGTCACTTATTATCACTTCAAACTCTAGTCTCAGCAGAATAAAGAAGTGATTAAATGGCAAGTGAAAACTTTTTCTGGTAGTATTTGACACAGCAATTTAGATCACAGGCACTAATGTGATAATGAACCCTAGGGAAAGGCAGCTTCTCTACATATAAATTGAAAAGATTTCTGACTTACTTGTAACAAATAATCAAACTAGTCTGTTATTTTGAAGCTTTGGCAGAATTTAACATTTTGCTGAATCTCAGCATGTCTTCTTACTCAATCCAAAGCTTGTGAAAAGTAAAGATTTTATGTATGTACATAGTTTTATCTTTTAGTTAAAACAACCCAAAAGTATCTATGCCACCACTCATTGGCAATCCCCAATTCAACTGTCACTTTCAAGACTTAACCTTTTATTTTTTATTTATTTATTTTTTCCGGAACTAAAAAAAAGACTTTATTTATTGAGGGCAAGAGGATGCAAACAATATAAAAATCAAAAGCTTATCTAGCATTTAACTAACTTTCCTTTCTCTGCTTGTCCAATGAGAGCTGGATGTTATTTGTACATTTTCTAAGGGTCCTGATCTGCTCATGAAATCTTCATACACGGGGAAACTGAGGGGCAGATTCCATAAGTGGCCCTTTGGGAGAACTCTCATCTGGGCAGGATGAAATGTTCAATTCTGCCTACTTCTTTCCCCTCTGTTTCACGTGCACTACAAAATAATCATTGCACGCAATGGTGAGGCCTGCAATTAGTGAAAAGAAGCTCTGGAAGCCCACTTTGCCGTCTCGGCACTGGTCCAGGTCCTTCATGATTTTGTCCACAGCCAGAGGATCTTTTTGATTTTCCAAAACCCCAGGGAACTCCTTTTCCACGAGTACTTGCAGGTCCTCCTTCGTTAAGTAGCCTTTGTTCCCGGCAAATTTGTGAAATGTAAACATCATGGTTTCCATGACATGTTCCATTTGGGATGGCATTTTGGCGAAGTCTGTCAAAACCCGGGATCTAGGGCTGCGGGCGGCGGGCGGGCATCGGCTTAACCTTTTAAATCATGAAGTTTTTCTGAAAAGTTAATCTTTGTACCATGAGTTATACTAGTGATGAAATAACTGAAAAATCATAACAATACGCCCTAGGTTGACCACTTATTTACCCTCTTAATCCCCAGTAAATAAAGAGGATGCCATTTAATGAGATAGTTAAACAATTTCCCACAAATTAATTTATATACAATACACAAAAATTTTTTTTAAATTATTTTTTTGAAACAGAATATCACTATGTAGCCCAGGCTGGCCTTGAACTCACAGCAATCCACCTGCCTCAGCCTCCTGAGTGCTGGGATAACAGGTGTGCGCCACCATGCCCTGTTAAAAAAATATTTTTACATAGCCACTTGTCAATAAATATTAGTAAATCTGGGGTTACCTGGGATAAAGTTTTTGTAGAATTTGCTTTTATTTATTTTTGTGTGTGGCCCTGGGGAGTGAACCCAGGGGTGCTCTACCACTGAAGTACATCCCAACCCCCTACCACTCTTTTCTTTTGTGGTCCTCGGGATTGAATTCAGGGCCTTCACACTGAGCTACATCCCAACTCCTTTTAAAATATTTCATTTTGAGACAGGGTCTCACTAAGTCACTAAGCTGCCCAGGCTGGGCTTGAACTTGACATCCTCCTGCCTCAGCCTCCCAAGTAAGATTTTGCAGAGTTAAAAAATCCTCTGTTTTTGGGTAAAATGTCAAAGAGGTTGCAGGGAAAGTGAAAAACCTTGAGATGCTGTGGACATAAATGTCCTCCTGGGCCCGCCTTCCTCACCTCCCAGAAGTCAGAACATCTTTCCTTTGCTCTCTCAGCACCACACACACCCTTCCAGCTCAGGACTATCAGGTCATTAAAGCTATCTCTCCTAGTGGACTGTGAATCTCTATGTCCCAGGATCTTGAAAAATGTCAGGCAAATAAATGAATGAGACATACTGAATGAATGATGATAGTGAATAAATACTAAATCCTCAAGCTATATTAACCAGCCTGGCTTAATATGACTCTAACTAGGGCCAGGGACTTAGTTAGTGGTTCCGGCGCCTGCCTTGCAAGCTCAAGGACCCGAGTTCAATCCCCGGTACCAAAAAAAAAAAAAAAAAAAGACTCTTAAGTCTCTGGGCTGGATTAACCCAAAGGACCCTATCGTGTCTACTAGTGAGTGAATCACCTCTGATGCTGACATGACCCACTACCACTCAATAGATTTCTTTGAAAAGTTCACTACTATCTTCCCTTGGAGGCAAATCTGATCAAAATGAAGGATACCAGCCCAAATTAAGCAGCATGCTGAAGCACAGAGATGACCAAGTCAAGTAATCTGTTCCCAGTGGGATTCAGGAATAGCCAACCTAATTGACTAGTACCTCCTAAGACCTAACCATACAGGATGGCACACACCTGTAATTCTGGCTGCTTGGGAGGCTGAGGCAGGAGGATTGCAAGTCTGAGGACAGGTTGGGCAACTAACTTAATGTGACCCTGTCTGAAATAAAAATTTTAAAAAGGGCTAGGGCATACAGCCCCATGGTAGAGTATTTGTCCAGCATGCGGCAAGGCCCTGAATTCTATCCCCAGTGCCACAAGAACAACGACAACCCTGAGCATACAGGACCCCAATTCAGTCTGGTCCACCCAGAACTCATCTGAGTAATTCCAGGGAAATGTAAACCAACAGAATGAGAAGGACACAGGGCAGCAATGACTGCTTTTTAAACAGTAACTCTCCTACAACACTAAAATATTTAATGAATTAGGTAGTCTTCATTAGAATAAAAACTTTCAGGCAATAATTCATATATGCCTAAAAGCTATGAATAGGTAGATGGGATCTAACTGGGCTTTTTCATTGGGAAAATTGCCCTACTTTCAACAACAAATCATTAGATCATTTTTCTTGGATTGGGTCAGAATTCCCAGAGAAAGGAAAGTTCCATCACACATTTAGAGTTTTCCATAACTCTTTAGTGCCTAATTCTGAAATATGAACAGACAACCAATGATCATCAGGTAAGGAGGAAAACCTTTAACACAAAAACTAGAGACCTAGCTCTAGCTATACCTACAGGTCTATATCCATGCATCTCTCTCTCTCTCTCTCTCTACACACATACACATACACATACACACACACACACAGAGGAACAGAGACTATGTAGGAAGAGGCTTAAAAATAAAACAAGGCTGGGAGTGTACCTTAGAGGTAGTCTTGCCTAACATGTGCCAAGGCCCTGCGTTTGGTCCCCAGAACCACTAATTAACTAAATAAGAAAAATAAAAACAGAAACCACACGCACAAAGGTTCAGGAATTAGAATTACTTTACACTTTTTGTTTTTGGGGTTTTGTGGGGGAGGAGAGGTTGAGACAAGGTCTCACTGAGTAGTTCAGGCCGGCCTTGAACTCACTATGGAGTCCAGGCTGGCCTCGAACTCGAAGAGATCCTCCCGTCTCAGCCTCCCAAGTGCTGGAATTATAGGCATGAGCCACCACGCCTGGCTACTTTAGACTTTTTTTTTTTGGTACCAGGGATCAAACTCGGGACCTTGCACTTGCGAGGCAGGTGCCAGAACCACTGAGCTAAATCCCCGGCCCTTACTTTAGACTTTTAACAGCAACACTGGAAGTCGGAAGACAATGGAGCAATAGCTAAACCCATCCAAGCTATTAGTCAAATGTGAAAGGAGAATAAATTTTCAGACATATAAAGTCTCAAAAATTATATCTCCCATGCTCATTTTCTTCAGAAGTTACTGAAGGGTGTATGGTATCAAAACAAGAGATTAGATCAAGAAGATAATGAGGTATAGGAACCAACTCAAGAGAAAGGCAGGACTGGGGATTTAGCTCAGTGGTTTCATCACCTGCTGCGCAAGCACAAGGACCTGAGTTCAATCCCCGGTACCAAAAAAAAAAAACGAGGCAAAGGGAATATCCAGACTGGTATAGAAGAGAATCCTAGGATACGAGCCATATACCAGATAAGCAGGACAGAGGACTCTGGGACAACTTTGTCCAGAAGATTAAAGTGACATACTATCTGATGCATATGACCATGAGGAGATTTAGATGACTTGCAGTTGTCTAAGCAAATAATCTCAAACTTTCTACTAGAAACAGTAGCCTAAACCTTCCCAAACATGGTCAAAGATACAAATTCAGAGATTCAAGAAGCTCAGTAAGCCTGGCATAGGGGTGCATGCTTGTAATCCCAGCACTCTGGGAAGCTGAGGCAGGAGGATCACAAGTTCAAGCCCAGCCTGGGCAACACAGCAATTTAGTTGAGACTGTATCTCAAAATAAAAGGGCTGGAGATGTATGTAGCTCAGGGTGAAGGCCCTGAGTTCAATACCAAGTACTACTCCCCGACCCCTCCTATCCACAAAATTCAGTGAATAAAACGATCTAATACAATTATGAAATAACAGAGCAGAGAGCATTCCAGTGTGTGAGATAGAGGAGAGGTACAGGAAGGAAAGAATAATGCAATAAATGATAGCTAAATTTTCATATTCCATAATGGGCAAACAACAGTTACTACTTAAAACAGAAAGGTCAAGAAATGCCCAATTAACTTGTTTAGGGAAAAAGAGAATCAGAGTTCAAAGTGGCTATCTCAAGGTTGGGGAAAATGAGAGGAGAGAGGGAGGCAGATGATTACTCTATTCTATAACATGCCTTGTACAAGTATTTGACCCTATGAATTTTGTGCATGGATAACTTCAAAATAAAAATAAAAACCAAAAGATTTATACACCATTGTCCAGTTTTTTGTTTTTTTTTTTTGGCCCACTGTTTTTTAAGTCAAGTGAAGCAGTGGGAGTAGAGAAGGAACAAAGAAATCTGTAATTGGCTGTAATCAATTAGTTGTAAATACCACTGCACTTGCACCAGTCCCATGATCTATTTTAAGATGGCAGCATGATAAATATTCTATCATTACTAGAAAAGATTTAAGTTCTAAGTAAACTAATATTTATCTTTAAATATAAGTAAAGGTTATAAAAATATGGAAGTGGGCCTAAAGAATATGAGGCAATTGGCTTTATTTCCTTGTTCATGCTCCTTTTACTGAGTTTTCAAGGCTAGTTATGGGGAAAAGTAGTTTGATGCAGACAGGACGCTGTGTTCTTCTGCCTTAGAGACTTCAAAAAATACAGGGACTATGCAGGGACAAATAGGAGGTGGCAATGGCAAAACATGGGTTTCAATGTGTATTAAGTGGGCTGGAATGGACTTCTGAAAAACTGACATGCAGAGCAGATGAAAATATACAATTCTTTCTATTCTGTGAACATTTTAGGAAGCTCTACTTCAGGCTGGTACCCTTTTGCAATGAACAGAATTGACAACTGAGTTTTCAAAATAGCTAGAGAAATATGTTGTTGATTCTATCACAAACCCAAGTCAAAATCAGCTTAAGTAAAATTCTCTTCTTACAAACACTGGCATAGTCATCCAAAGGACTAAATTTAGATATTAATTATATTCTTTTTCACTTCTTACCACAAGAAGTAATTACTCCTAATGACATCATTAAAAGAAAGAAAATATATATCTTTAAAAGGGGTATTTAGTACACGAAGCAAAATCGGTGCTTGTCCCTTTGTACTTAAGGCATCTACCCTAGTTATTACAGGATCAATGGTTTAGCTACCGAAGTCAGACTTTGGTTGCTATGAACATCAATCATTTTTAAAATCTGGTATAACTGACAGTTCTCTGTATCTTTAAAACTGTTGCTAATGTTCATTCCCAGAGATTTAAAAATTTTTGGATTTACTATATTTGATCTTTAGGGAATATTTTTGGAAATATATATGCCAAACAGACATGAAAATCAGATAATATCCCAATTAAAAACTCTCTAATGGCCCAGTACTTTTAGACCTTATGCTCAGAGGGAGATATACAAATTTAAAAATTTTAATCCACTTGCCTCAGAAACAGGACTATGGATTTTTTAAAAAACCCAATATTTCACTTTCTAAATTATTATAGTTCTTTATTTTTAAAAGAAATGTTAGAAACTGTTAATAGCAGCTTCCTCTGGGGAGAAAAGCTGCATAACTAGAAAATGGGAAAGCAGAGACCTTTGAGTTTTATGAATAGGGAATGAGACCTTTTGAATTTTGTTATGCATGTGAATTCTAAATATAGGCTTTAAATGCTCAGGATGAGGTACATTACATTGTTGGTTGAAATGTTTATTCTGTTAGGGAGATGTTTCACGGAAAATTTGGGTAAGTAATAAAAAATAAAATTTTAATTCTTTCTTCCCGTCTACTTATCTATCTCAGTGCTGGAGATTGAATTCAGGGTCTTCCTACTGAGCTACATCCTCAGCCCTTTGTGTCACCATGCCTGCGGTTTTTCTTTTGTTTTAAAAAATTTTTTATTAGTCCTTGTTGGCAATACATAATGATTACATTCATCATTGGGAGGTGATACATTTAAATAACACATCTTAATTCTTTTTATTTGTGAGCTCTCTATTTGTTTTTTTAAAATAGTACTGGGGATTGAACCCAAGGTCTTTGCACTGAACTACATTCCCCCTTTTTATTTTTCTTAATTTTGAGACAGGGTCTTGCTAAGTAACTAAATTGCTCAGGCTAGGCTCAGACTTGCAATCTTCCTGCCTCAGCCTCCCAGAGTGCTGAGATTACAGGCGTGCCCCACCACACCCAGCTTCACACCTGGCTCATTTTAATTTTTGATTTTAATAATTATCTTAATAGCTGCAATCAAGCTATGCCTAGAGAATTTGTAAGTATTTAATTTGTGGTCTTTCATGACAGATGACAGCTTTCAAAATCATTTATGCCTAAAAGAAAAATTCTACCTTCTCTTAAAATGGACTGGAGTAAAACTGCTAAACTTGACATTCTCAGTTCCCAAGGGCTGCCTGGGTAAGCTAAAGTAAGTACATAATGCTGGGACATACCTGTAGGAGCAGAAAGCCACCACCTACTGCTGTTGCTGCAAGTTTTCCAACTTTCTGGAACAAAAATCCTGCACACCTTTAATGAAAGAAATAAAAAAGATGAGAACAATCAATGATGCTCTAAAACACTGATGGCAAACCTTTTAGAGCTTTCAATGATATAAATAGCCCGCTGCAGCATGCCTACCATAGGTTTGCCACCACTGTTCTTAATGCTTGCCTCTTCTACTTTTTATTGCTTTCCTAATAAAATCTTAATATCTTCCAGTTTCTTTTGATCATGTCTCTTGCCTGCTGAGAAACACTCAATGTTTCCCTTCTGTCACACAGGCTAGTAAAAAATGCACAATCTGCCAATGTGGTGACTGGTGCCCATAATCCCTGCATTTTAGGAGGCTGAGGCAGTAGGATAATGAGTTTGAGGCCAGGCTGGGCACCCTATCTCAAAAAACAAAAACAAAAACAAAAGCACAATCCAAAATCTCTGAGATTTGCTGCAAAAAAGGGAAGAAGTAGATTTATTTTTAAAAAGTGGCTACTGAAATTTAATGATGAATACTCAGAGGTTCATTATACTCTTCCTACATTTGCATAAGCTGAAATTTCCTGTAGTAAGAGTGATTTGTTTTGCTTAATACAGTCAAGATGTTCCACACACCTGGCCAATTCGTACTCTATCCAACTTTCTGCTCCACCCTAATTAGTTTCCAAGTAGGTTGCTTCTAAGGGTTTCTGCCTATCTACAGCTTTCCAAGGTCTATAGTTCCACTTTTCTCACTGCACTTCAGCTCATACTTCTCATAGCCTCCTTATCTGTAACTATTTTTATATTAAGCCTGTTTTGTCTCATTTATCCTGCAACAGTGTCCTTCTGTACTTCGTCAATGAGATCATATTCCTCTAAGCATTCCAGATCCATACTGCGCAAAAGAATCCCAGATTTCTAACTCTAGAATCCCAGATTTCTAACTCTAGCTTTCAGTACTGAGTTGGTGTCCCCTCAAAATTCACGTCCTTCCTGGAATCTCAAAATGTGATCTTATTTGGAAATAGGGCCACTGCAGATGTGACTGATTATACAGCAGGCCCTTAATTCGAGTCATATCATAGAAACACAGACACACAGAAGGAGAACACCAAGCGATAACAACAGAGGGAGAGATTTCTAGAGGAAAGCACTATTCTCCAAGCTTGGTACCTCATATTCATCTCAGACTCTATCTTTTTTATCCTCGGTACAAATGACTGCATAATTTGATATATTCTATCTCTAAAACATTATCATTTTCTCCTTCCCATTTTTAAGGATATCATTACCTTGGTAATGGTTCAGGCTTCCATTATCTTATTTCCAAACTACTTTAAGGGAAAGCTAACAGGTTTTCACACTTTCCATGTCTCCTAGCAACCACCCATTCCAGGCTTTCCAAGCTAATTTCTACCAATTATGGGGCTTCTTACCAAGTTTGGTCTATAGGGAGAAAGCATTCTATTTCTCAATTATTTTTTAGTATCTAGTAATATTGAGCTTTTGGCCTTCTCACCAATCACCTGTAGCATCAAATTCTGAGCTTATTTAAACTGAGGCGCATACCCTGAATTATGGGGACGGAGGTACAATCGGCCTATGGCGAAGCAACTAAATAACCAGGGTCTAACCAGAAATCCCTAATTATAGGCTTTTTTTATACAGTAGCATTGATATGTACACATCATGAGTAAATACTGCACATCCGTGCCACAGAATCTTCACAATGAGTGTTTCTATCGTAAGATGGCATTTATAAAGACAGTGAACCATTATTTTTTCAAGGTGGATGTAAAACACAAATCAAAAAATTTATACTTACCAAGCAGAAATACATAAATATTAAATTAAATCAATGTGAGACGAATTTAACTTAGAATTTAATAAAAAAAGATTATTCACAAGCACCCTCACTAACTTCAAACATTTTCTAGCCATGAACATTTCTTTTTTGAGACAGGGGTCTCACTATGTAGTTCAGACTGGCCTTGAACTCCTGGTATTCCTCCTGCCTCAGCCTTTTGAGTGCTAGGATCACAGGCACAGGCATGTGCCACCACATCCAGTTTAATCAGTACTTTAATTCCAACACAGAACCAATGATCTACAGCTGTTCTTTAAAGCATTATCATAATCTGATTCGGCCCACAAAAGCCAGAATCAGCAGTATCATCATCAATAATTTCTACTGAGCATTTACATTGCTTTCCACAGGGCTGACAATCCTGGAGGCCAGTTCTGCTGGTGGGTTTTCTCACAGGTTTTTCCAGAGGTTAACACTGGCTAGCAAGTCAAAATTCACATATTTCTTCCTGTTTATTCACTAGGACTGAGTCAGATCCACTATATTTGCTGAACCTGAAAGGGGACGATATATAAAGGAAGGAAGGATAAAGAGGGAAGAGTGGAACAGTGGTGGGTAGGGAGGCAGGTGATCCTCAAAATCCAACAGGGTGTTATTTCTGAAGGCAGATCACACCAATTACATCATGGAGAAAAGCTTCAAAGTAATGCTCTCCTGGAATTAACAGTATTGACCCCACTGAATATGCATGGTAACTATGGCCCACTTATAAAAGGACAACAGCTAAGCTCCCATTGAAATTTAATGAAAAATGTGTTCTCACCAGCCAGTCACGCCACCCATTGCAATCTGGGTAGCTACTGAGTATTTTTCTACCATAGGTCCTGATCGGTGGCCAAACACTCGATTCCACCAGTGGTGTCTTCTTGCATATTCTGTTAAATCCAACACTTCGTAAGAGTCGTCATCACTTTCATATTCTTCAAAACACAAAATGGGAAAAATAATGAGTCAATCGAAAGTCAAAAATGTCTCATACATTTTTTAAAAAGTGTCACAACTCACGGTCACTTTAGGCTTACAGCTAAAAATGCCCATATGGAAACTAATGAGTTTAACTCAATTCCTGAGACTAGGGTCTCAATAGTAAAGGGCCTGGCAATAACATTAATCCCTATCTCCTTTCCAAAGGCCCAAGGTCCGCCTGGGGACACGGAACCAGGGCCAGTTCATTGTTACACTGCAGTGAGGGGTCACCTCTCAAATCTCACAGCATCAGGGTCATAGCGGGGTCCTTCTCTGAGGAACCGGTCAGGAGCCCGAGAAAATCACTTGTGGGGCTGAGGGGCTTAAAATAAAAAAGGAAAAAGCGTTTTAAGGAGATGAAGGGCCAGAGGTGAAGGCAAGGCAGCGTAAGGCTGTGTTGGGGGTAAGGGATCGTTTTTTGCCTGAGTTTCGCAGAAACAACAGGAAGTCTAGTTCAGAGGGGTTGCTCAAAGGGGATTCCACAAAACAGAGCCCCAAGTACCCTGAAAACGCCAGGGACCAAGGTCGAGAGCTGTGAACTGCGTCCCAGACACTACTTTGGGCCCTGGCCGCTCACCTTGGGGAGGGGGGTTCCGGGACGCCATGATACCGCCGGCGGCCAGTTCTGGGGTGGTCCCCGCCCACCCTCCTCTCCCCTGCACTTTAAGGACCGCTCTAGGCCGAGGAAGAAGTCTATGGTCTCTCTTTTCCCTTCCTCCTCCCTTTCCCTTCTCCTCTTTCCCCTCCTCCCGGCCCGTCGTTCTCTCCCCGCCCACTTCTCAGCGCAGGATATTCCGCACAGGCGCACCGGCTCGGGAAGGGGGGAGGAACACTTGGATCGCAGCCCCGCAAGAGTTTATGGGAGTTGTAGTCTGTTACCCTCCCCAACTGCGGCCTGGACCACATCCTATCCCCCTAGAATTTCCATAATCATAATTTCTTTATTTTGTTTAAAAAACTTTCAGGGCTGGAGGAATGGGTGGAGAGGTGCCACATGGTTGTATAAAGGAAAAACCTGTTGGGTATTGACAAAGACTCTCTTCTTGACCAAACTTTAGTAAGGAGGCTCCTCTGAAGCTCTTTTTCACTAGGCTTTCCCCTTAGGCCCTGTGTTTGGCCTGCCTAATCCAGTTGTAATAAGAATCTTGCTGAGTCAGTGTAGTGAGAGTTTCCTCCACCCCTGATGTCTAGTCACTCTCAATATCCAAATTCTTCCTTCTTCATCTTTGATAACTGATCACCCAGGCCTTGGTTCAGCAAGAGTCCCATTAAATCAGCTTAGCAAGAATAACTCTACCCTGATGTCTCCTCTTGATAATACTTTACCCATTGACCTTCTCACTCTGATCAATGGGTATATAACCCCAGCTGTGTTTGCTGTGTTCAAAATTAAGATAGGCACAAGGTCCCGAGTTCGATCCCTGGTACCAGAAAAAAAAAAATTAAGATAGGTCCCTCATCCTTATTGTGACCATCTTGACACCTACTTGTTTTGAGACAGGGTCTTGCTAACTCACCAAATTGCCCAGGCTGGGCTCAAACTTGAAATCCTACTGCCTCAGCCTCCCAGAGTGCTAGCATTATAGGCATGCCTCACTATGCCCAGTCAGAAAAATTTTCTTTTCCTTTTTGTGAAGCAAAACATTTATTGGTACAGTTTAGATATATATATTGACAACATTCATCACAGGGAAGTTGAACCTGTACATGATATATCTTGCTTCTTTTTTCCCCATTCTCCTCACCTCCTTTCGACCCCTCTTCCTCTCCTTATTTACAAAAGCTTTGTTTCCATTTTTTCCTTCTATTCTCTTTTTTTTTCCATGTACCTTCTTTCCTTTCACTCTCCCCCTTTCTTGTTCCCCTTCCATTCCAACATTTTCTTCCCATTGCCCAATATCTATTATACATTTTGATCCATATTTACACTTTTGATTTCTCACACCAGAGAAACAATGTGGTATTTAAACATGTGTCTGATTTATTTCACTTAAGAATATGATCTCATCCATTTAGCTATAAATGCCTGAAGCTCATCCTTTTAATGGCAGAGTAGTACTCCATTGTATTAAAAAAACCACATCTTCTTCATCTACTCATCAGTTTCTGGGCATTTGGGCTGTTTCCAATATTTAGCTACTACAAACTGTGCCACTATAAACATGGGTGTGCCAATATCACTGTGGTATGATTCATTTAATTCTTTTGGGAAGACACCAAGAAGGAAAATAGCTGGGTCAAATGGGACCTCTAGTATTAGTTTTTGAGGAATCTCCACACTGATTTCCACAGTGGTTGCACCAGTCTACACTTCCACCAACAGTGGAGAAGGGTTCCTTTTTCCCCACAGCCCCACAAGTATTTGTTATTGATTGATTTCTTAATAACAGCCATTCTTTCTGGAGTGAGATGAAATCTTGTTGTTTTAATTTGCATCTCTCAAATAACCAGTGATGTTGAACATTTTTTCATATATTTATTTGCCATTTCTACTTCTTCATCTGAGAAGTATCTATTCATTTTAGATGCCCATTTCTGGATTGAATCTTAAATTGGGGGGGGTCAGATAAAGAATTAGAAACAGCAAATAAATATATAAAAAAGTGTTCAACATCACTGGTTATTCATGAAGTGCAAATTAAAACAATGCTGAGATTCCATCTCACTCCAGAAAGAATGGGTGCTATCAAGAAATCAACCAATAACAAATATTGGAGGGGCTGTGAGAAAAAGGAACACTTCTCCATTGCTGGTGGGAGTGTAGACTGGTGCAACCACTATGGAAATCAGTGTGGAGATACCTCAGCAAACTAGGATTAGAGATCTCATTTGACCCAGCTATATCTCCTTTTGGTATCTTCCTAAAAGAATTAAAAGCATGACACCACAGTGATATATGCACACCCATGTTTATAGCAGCACAGTTTGTAATAGCTAAATCCAGGAAACAGCCCAAATGCCCATCAACAAATGAGTGGATACAGAAGAGGTGGTTTTTGTAATGTAATGGAGTACTACTCTGCCATAAAGAAGGATGAGCTTCAGACAATTATAGCTAAATGGATGGACCTTGAAACCATACTCTTAAGTGAAATAAATCAGACACACATGTTTAAATACCACATTGTTTCTCTGGTGTGAGAATCTGAAAGTGGAAATAAGGACTGATATGTACAATGGATGTTGGAAAATGGGAAAAAAGTGTTCAAATGGGAAGGGGAACAAGGAAGGAGAGAGGGAGAAAGGAAGGAAGGGACAAGAAAAAAAGTGAAAAAATAAGGAAAAGATGGAAACAACGCTTTTGTACATAGGGAGGGAAGGGGGCTTGAGGGGGTAAAGGGATAAAATTTATTAAAAAAATAAAATAAATACAGTTGAGGGGGTCTGATTTCTTGAAGTTCTTTATATATTCTAGATATTAGTCCTTTGAGGAACAGCTGGTAAAAATTTTTTCCCACACTGCAGGTTATCCCTTCACTCTGTTGGTGGTTTCTTTTGCTGTGAAAAAGCTTTTTAGTAAGATGAGATACAGTTGTTGATTTTTTGTGATATTTCCTGTGTGATGGAAGTTTTGTTCATAAAGTCTTTGCCTACACCAATGTCTTCAAGAGTTCTACCCATTCTATCTTCCAGCAGATTTAGCATTTCTGTTTTAATATTTAGATCATTGATCCATTTGGATTTTAGTTTAGCTCATGGTGAAAGATATGGGTCTAGTTTCAACAAGTGGAAAGCCAGCTTTTCCAGCACCATTTATTAGAGTCTATCTTCCTTCCAGTGAGGGTGTTTGGCTCCTTTGTGAAAGATAAGGTGGATGAATGTGTTTTTGTATCTTCTAATCTGTTCCATTGATCCTTGGGTCTGTTTTTTGCCAGTACCATGCTGTTTTTGTCACAGTAGCTTTGTAGTATAATTTCAAGTCAGGGATTGTTATACCCCCTGCCTTGCCATTATTACCCAGAATTGCTTTGCTATTCTGGGTCTCTTCTGGTTCCAAGTGAATTTTAATATTGTTTTCTCTAATTCTGTGAGATATGTTATTGATATTTTGATTGGAATTGTATGAAATCTGTATAACAGTTTTGGAAGTATGGCCATTTTCACTATATTAGTTCTTCATACCCAAGAACAGGGAATTTTTTTTTTTTTTTTTTTTTGGTTCCAGGGATTGAACTCGGGTTCTTGTGCTTTGCTTTTGAGGCAGGCGGCAGAACCACTGAGCTAAATCCCCGGCCCTCCATTTTTTTTGATATCCTGTTCAATTTCCTTTTTCAGAGTACTGTAGTTTTCCATGTAAAAGTCTTTTACTTCTTTTGTTAGATGGATTCCTAGGTATTTCATTTTTTTGGATGCTATTATGAAAAGTGTTGTTTCCCCAATTTCTCTCTCAGTGAGTTTGTTATTTGTTACAGGAATGTTATTGATTTCTGAGTGTTGACTTTGTATCCAGCTATGCTACTGAATTTGGTTATTAAATCTAGAGTTCTTTTGGTGGAGTTTTTGGTGTCCTGCTTTAAATCCTTGCTAGGTCCCGGGGACTCACTCCCTCCTTTCTTCTCTACCTCACCATGCTATATTGCAGCAAAGGAACACCAGATCTTGGAGAGGCTATTTCTCTGATGTTCTCCACTCTGCCATCTCCAGAATAATTTTCAAAATAGTTTTTTTTTTTCTTCTGGTACCAGGATTGAACTCAGAACCTTGCATTTGCCAGACAGCCATGGCGCCACTGAGCTAAATCCCTGGCTCTCCTAAATAGTGTTTTGAACCCTGTACTCTACCAGAATTTAGTGCTTAAGGAAAAGGCTTTTACAAAGATTTAAGAGAAACCCTGCTTCAATTCATACTTTTCTAAAGAGGTAAGGGCTCACAGAAGAACAGAAATTTTTCTAATGCCCTGCAGCTAGGATTTGGAACCTTTTCATGTGTTCTCTCTCCACACATTTCCTGCCAGGAGCCCAAGTGGAGGTAGAGGAAGGCTTAGGATCTGACCTGATAGGAGTTACTCAAGAGGACTTAATTTTTTAGCATCATTTGTATTATTTAAATCTGACAGAGGAGTGGGGTCAAGTTTTTCACCCAGAAGTTCCATGGAAATCTGTAAAATGCAAAACTATGTTGGTCACCAAAGTTAACCCAAGTTCATGTAAATTAGCCCCAAACTTATTTATTTGTTTATTTATTTATTTGTTTGTTTGTTTATTGGTGTTGTTATCCATCTTGGGAGTCCATATAGTTACTGATTTTATTTAATTAAAAAAACAACACTAAAGGAATAAAACTGCATACACAACATACCATGGGTCATGTTTACAGACAGATCTATCCAAAATGAGAATGAGGGACCTACGGCTAACTTAAAACACGCTTGCAGAAATAGCAATGTAGTTTCCTTCAGATGGAAAGCTGCACTGACTGCACAAGAGAAGTAAATCTCCAACTTCTATGCTTTCACTGAAAAGAAAAAAATAAAGGAAAAGTTTTGGTCAAACAGGAATTAAGTATTCACTACCTGGTAATGATTTTAGTTAACTTCCTACAAGTACTTGGGAAAGGAGGGCTTCAGGGAGGAAAACCTGATGCACTTACCAGGCTCCTAAAAATGGAAAGACATCTGTGAAGAGATCTCTTCCTTTTGGGTTTTCTACCAGCTCAGCTTCTAGCACCTGACTCCCCACACTGCACCAACTTCCAAGCGATGACCACCCAGCCTCTCCAATCCAACAGCCTGCTGAGCCCCTGCATGCCACA